TTTTTTTTTTTTTTTTTTTTTTTTTTTGCTTCTGTATCAACAGCTTTGTGCATCAGCGGTGATAGGTGTGGTATAGCGTTTATGGTTGTTGAACTTCTGAAGATTGGAAATTACAGCGTGCAGTCAGTGTGACAGCACCACTAAGTTGACAGTTGATACAACAATTGCAGAGTTTTACCCTGTCCTAAGAGTCGGGGCGACAGCATAACAGCGTAGCTGATCACTTTGTTCATTTAAAAACCATTCTTCAGATTGATATATCATCTTTTTCAACTTGATGTTCCCTTTGCAACAGATGATTTTTATATAATTCAACATTACATTTTTGACAATATTATTTTAATATTCATCCGCATTGTTGTTGTTTTTGCCACCTTCAAAGCACAGAAGTTACGCGGAAATTATTGACATTTTGATGATACCGAACATTCAATGATTATAAATATTTAGGTGAAAAAAAAAAATTTTTTTTTTCTTTGTTACATTGAACAAAATTTTTTTTGTTGACTTATTTTGATGACATATATTCAGTCTTGAAATATGAAAAAAAAAAAAATTGGGTTCTTTTTTTATTTTTATTTTTTAATATGGATACACACATAAATGGCACTACAACTGCAGCAATATTTATGGATACATTCTATGTTTTCATTGATGTTTGTTCTAAATTGTTGAACCGCCATATTTGTAAAAACAAAAAAAAGCTGTATTTTTTTTTGTTTTAGCAAAAAAAATTATTAATTTATTATTTGTTGTTTTTTAAACTGATAAAATACTGTTAAAAAAAAAAAACGCGTTTTGAATTGATTTACTTAAAAAAATAAAACAATACAAGACAGGGGAAAAAAACAAAAAAGCAATTTATTTTTTGATCATTTAACACGGATTGATATTAGGAACACTGAACTTAGTTTATGCACCTAATGTCTGGTCTTATTACAGTTTTTTTTGTGAGCATCTGATAACTAGTTTCAGCAAGAAAAGTCTTACTAATTATTACTGCATTACAATGGGGAAGCAAAAAAAAAAAAAAGCACTTAGAATTTTATGTTGCAATATGAATAATAACAGACAATGTTTGAAAAGTTTAACTTTCCTAATTTATAGATAAGTATTTTCTGACTGCCTTAATTTACCAAATTGCTGTTTTGCATCAAAGGTCAA